TTACCCTAAGATTGTCCCCTCTATAAGTACACGCAGGCCCTCCTTCACTACCCTCACCGTCTTCAGAATATGACGTCATCTGTCACCGTCGTCGAGCTCAGGGAGGCCTACAGTAACTGCTTCAGCCTGAAGCTCTTACATAATTTCTTGGATCGATTCAACGTGGGATAGTTTCCTAGGGACATTAGCTCTAACTATGCAACCCCCTCGGAACCCGCCCTTCGGAACCCGTCGTAACGGTACACGATCAGTCGAGAACCCCATTGAGCTCGACCAGAGCACCATGTTTCCGGGCAAAACTTTTCTGATGCCGTCCACGTAGATGGCCACTATGAAGATTTTCTTATGAAATGAAATGCGCTCTTCAATTCTAAGTTGGGAGCACACGCTTTGAGCTGAGCAAAGTGTGATTAAATCCATTTGAAGACAAAATGTCTTTTTTTATTGCCCCCCCTGTCTTACTTAGTTTTTCAAGTGGTCGTGAGTGGGGATAGTCGTAGACGGCTAGGAAAATAAAATACTTTCGTTAGCGTACAGTCGCTCGACTCCACTTTTGGAGGAGGTCTGTAGTGGTGTAAGGATGTGTGTCACGTAGTAACCAGGACACCACTGACACACCATAAACCATCTTAATGTGGGCGAGAGAGTTGCGACGTGGGGAAGGGCAAAGTCGCGCGTTGTTAAGCGGAGGGAGGGTCATGTCGTCAAAATTCCCCACACCCATGCCCTAGCTATTTTGCTGCAACGTACGCTACGCGCCGTGCGCTACATGCCTTGCGTTGCCGCTGCGTTGATCTGAACTGCAGGCAAGCAATACAACAACATACAGTATATTCTTAGTATAAAATGCAGTACACTTAATGGTTAATTTAATGGCGTAACGTGTGTTAATTTTAGGTGTACCGTACACTATTAATGCTTACGCGATGACTTCACACCTCGAGTTTTAAAAAGTACATAAGCAGACTAATAAAAAAAATAAATCAACAACTCAAGTGACATGAAATTCCAGAGAGCTTTGAAGAACCTGCCCAACTCTCCTTTTAGGCTTTGCGAAGGAAAGAACGAATTCAAGAGTGTGATGGACATGCAAGAAGGATTGTCTTTACAGCGTGGACATCTTGACGAGTGGCACTTCAGTATGGTCACTCGAGAGCCTGTCGATCGGTTTTTGTCAGGTTTCATTGACCGATGTATACGGTAATTTTGAGCTATAACTACACCTCAAATTCGGATATAAAACTTTTATGCGGCCTGAAACTGCTGCCATTATCTGGTCCAAAATTTTGAGGTGTTCGAATGGGTTTGCTCCCTCGAAAGAGGTGCGTGGCTAGTCAATGAAACAGTCGGGGCTTCCCCTCCCTTCACCCCCCCCCCCTTCAAAAAGCCAGAAATTGTGCGGTGCAGACCATACACCACAAGTGACGACGGCCTCAAGTAAATCTGGCTAGTAGTGGTTCATAGTGATAGCTGAGTTTTAGTAAACAAGTGAAGCGGAAAGTTGGGGTAGGGTTTTCCCTGTCCCACCCCACACAACACTTGTAAAATATGGTTGCTCTGGTGTCAACGCGAGCCAGGCAACGGAAATCGACGACTTCAGCGTTCTGGCGCACCTTATTCGGCCCTTATCAATCGTTAACCAGTCTGGCATAACGGTCGAGGAATTCCTCGACCATCGCTCTCTGCTGTGCGAGAGTAGTGCCGAGAGTGAATGTACGCGCGGAGAGCACAGACGGCTCGCGGGTGGCGAGAGTGAATATCCGCGCGGAGAACGTAAAGGATCAGGCGAAAATCCTCGACGTGCCGTTGAGGAATCCTCAAGCAATATTCACCCTGGCGGGCACTATCAACTCGGCCGCGCCCCAAATCGTGAAGAGTGGGGAGCCATTTTTTGGAACGGCAAGTAGAAGCTCTAAAAAGATGTGCAACCATGTTATAGGTAAATGACGATGTCGCTTTCTTTCTCATTTCTTACGAGCATGTTAATGTAAGGTTAAATTTACTAGTTTGGGTGGTTGAAGTGGAATCGGTGAGATCAGAGAAAGCTCCTGTTTTTCTGGGGTTTTTGATATCTGAAAAGCGTGAATCGTGTCTGCTTTAATAACCATAGGTAATTCTGGGTTTGGGTACGGTGAATTCATGCAGTTTAATTGGTTACAGGATACGCTCTTCTGATGCTGTACCGTGCATGCGGGGACGAGGAGTGGTTGCAACGAGCACGGTGCTTCGCTCTCATGATTCTCGACAGCAATATTCGTGCTGCGCAGAGAACGCCAGATTCACCTTTCAGTCTCTTCGAAGGATTATCGGGAGCGCTGTGCTTCCTAGTCGATCTGCTTCCTGAAAACATTGAGAAGGCTCAGTTTCCTTTGTATCCGGTACCATTTTGAAACCAATATTATTGGAATTTTGTTTTGATTCACTCCTTTTCATGTACAATTACAAGCGGCTTCCAGTCATGCTTACTTTACGGTTGTAAATAGTTAGTATTCCAACTTACGGTTAGTCTGAAAATTTTCTCAGCATATTACGTCTCGACTGCTGCCCACTGATGTCTCAGTCGGCTACGCTGTCGGTTTCAAATGTGTTGTTTTCTGTATCCATCGAAGTTTAACTGTACTTGTTGTCCTTGTTGTTCAATTGAGTGTGCTTACAGATTTTGTTGTGCTTTATACATTTTCTGTTTGTATAGTAGCTACTTTAGTCAATAAAATGCCTCAAAAGTTCTTCTGTTTATTCTTGTTGCGCAACCAATTTTGACGTAAGAGGCTATTACGAAGGCAAAGGAGGGACATGTACCCATCCCTTGGGATTGACAATCTGTTTGTTGAAGCCTTACATGAAAATCGAGTTCACTAGCGAATCAGCTTAAAGGAATCCTCCGCGAAAAAAGCTGCTCCGCCTCCATTACCACAG